AAAAATCTGCGAAATTTGGAAAAAGGTAAAACTATATCAAAGCTTATAAAAAGAGCGAAACTATATCAAACACTTAGTAAAAGATGAGCGAAACTAAAGGTTTTACCGTTTTGCCAAATCCAAAATGAGTATAGACAAGCAACCTTTTGTTTGACCTTAATATTAGTGATAACATTTCTCTAGTTTCTGAAGTTCTTACAGAATGTGATAGCACAGTTTCTAAAAATGCAGAATAACTGAAAAAAAAAATAAAACAAGCTATCCTATAAGGAAATTTCTTGAAATGAATAGCAATGCTATGTTATGTTCTCTTTGCCAAATATCTTTCTCAAAAAATACTGGAATCAGTACTTTTAAAAGGCATTTTGAAAAAAATCATGCAAATGCTTATAAACAAATTAATCAAGAAGTACAAAATAATCTGCTTCCATATACTGAAAATAATTTAGATCAAATTGAATTGATTAATATTCATATATATAGCTGGATTATAAATAATCAGCAATCATTTAATATGGTTGAAAATAAAGAATTTAAATCTTTATTATTTGTTCTAGATCTTAAATATAAATTACTAACAAGTAAAATAATATTATACATAACCTGTAAATTTTTTTTTTTTATAATTCATATTCAATATTTAAGTGATTAATTATTTGCTTGTGAAATCATAAAATTTATATATTAGTTTTTTTTTCTTTCTTCTAGCATATTTAACATTAGCATAAATTTATTATCTAATACTTTAAAATAATTTTTATATATGATTTTATTATTTAGAATTAGATTAGCATTTTTATTTATTATTATATTTTTGATTATTTGGATTATCAATATTATTTATAATATTTGATTATTATTAAGAAATAATATCTTTAAAAATTAAAAGTTTCTATATTAAATAATTATAAATTATGAATTGATAAATAATTTTTTTATAAAATATACTTTTATAATAAATATGTGATATTTATTTTAAAATTGATAAATAACATTCATAATTTTTATCCCTTCATTAGTTTTCCTTCCAAATTAAATTTTAGATATATTAAAAATTAGTTATTAAACAAATAATATTTTTATAATAAAATTTATAATATTTTATAAATAAAATCAAAAAAAAAAATTTTTATCATTAATTAGTAAAGTTTTGCATTAATTTAAGATCAAAGTTTTGAATATTTTTTAATAAAGTATTTTATTTTAAAAGCCAAATTTTATAAATTTTATTTATTTATTAAAAAACTTTACAAAATATATAAATTTATATTTTAATTATAAAAAAATCATAAATTTAAAGTTGAAAATTTTGCTTATATTTAATATTTTAATTATTAAAAGAAAAAAACTAATCATCTTCACAGGTGATTTTTCCTAATCATATGATTATAATGAGATTACGCAATTTGATTATTAAAGTGATTAAACAAATTACATAATAATAAACAATTTTCTCACTAATTGATATTTCTATAAACTTACATTTTTTTTCTTTCATATAAGATTAGGGTAAGAATTAGGATTAGAATAAGAATTTAGATAAGAATTTAGATAAGAATTAGAATTAGGGTAAGAATTAAGATTAGGATTTAATAATTTCTTTATTGTTAAAATATTACTGTAATATAGGATTCTTAATAAAAAAAATTAAAAGTTAGTAATTTGTAATATTTAGTAATAAAAATTTATTATGAATTTATTACAATACTGTAGTATAAACAAATGATTATATAATTCAATGAAATCACCAGTAGTAATAATTAGAAATTTTCTTATTAAAAATAAAATTTATTTAAAAATAATAAATTTATAATAAATTTTATAATTTATTTTAACTAAAAATTACAAATTATAAGTTTCTATGTAGAATTTTACATAATAATTGATTGAAAATCATAATTAAATTTGAATAAAAATCATTATTATTTAAGAGATAGTTTAGATTTAACTAGATTAGTTAATAATTTAATAATTAGTTTATTAGTTTAATAAATATAAATATTATTTTATTTTATAAACTTTATATATAAATTATACATAAATAAAATTAATATTTTTATTTATTAAATAAATATTATTATATTTAAATAAATTAAATTATAAAATATTTAATCTTAATTTATACTTTTGCTAAATTGCATAAAACTTTTTTATAATAATAAGATTTTTATTTTCTTATCTTATATATATAAGTACATACATAATATTATTATTTATTAATTATAAAATTCATTTCTGTTTTAATTTCAGTTAATACCGAATAAAATTATTTGATTATTTAACTTAATTTTTATCAAAATTTTTTTTTTTGTTAAAAAAAATAAAAAAATTTTTTTAAATGGTTAGATTAGATCGCTTAATTGTTCTCTTAATTGTAGACAAACTGGGCCAATGAAGAATTTGCTTTTTCATGCTTCTTTTGCAAAGAAAGCAGAAATTTTCAAATGATCCCAAATTGATTGATTATAATATGTATAAATTCAAAAATAAACCATCATATGAATCACATGATATAATGTAAATAATTCCTGTTTATGACGCAATAAGAAAAAAGAATATTACCGTAAAGTCACAATGGCATTTAAAAAACTTCCAGATTTCGTTAAATGTCATCAGAAAGGCCATTGTTATCGAAATTTGCTGCGCCACAAGCTTCACACGCATGCATGTGATAATTATTTATTTTTTTAAAAAATTCCCAAAATAGTAAACCCAAGACATATAAATACTGTAACAATCTTCACAGCTCCCACAGCATGCATTCACCCTTACTCTTGAAATGTTATCTAAACTTTTGATCCTAAGTAGTTCTCGAATTCTTTTCCCAGATTCAATTGAAACTAAACCTGGTACAATTGAAATTGATAATATTACAGGAAAAATCATAAGAATTCATCCTTTTAAAGCGTCAATTAACGATTATAATGATCAGAACCAATTTTTTGACGTTGGAAATAATGTTATCATGCCCGGTTTAATTGACGCCCATGTACATTTAAATGAACCTGGTAGAACTGATTGGGAAGGATTTGAAAGCGGAACTAAAGCTGCTGCAGCTGGTAAAACATCAATTAACCTCTCTACAATAAAATTAAAAGTTTTCACACCAAATTTGTTTAACACATTTATCAGGTGGTGTAACAACTGTAATTGATATGCCATTGAATTCAATCCCTCCTACTACGAATGTTCATAATTTACAAGAAAAGATTCGTGCAGCAAAAGGAAAGTGTTGGGTAGATGTCGGATTTTATGGTGGTATAATACCCGAAAATCAGGTTGGTCCTAAAAAATAAGTATTTTTAAATAAATTTATTATTTGTTATTATTATTATTAATTAACTTAACTATTTATTATTAATAATAGAATGATCTAGTTCCATTAATAAAGGAAGGTGTAAAAGGATTCAAATGTTTTCTAATAGATAGTGGGGTTGAAGAGTTTCCTCGCGTAAGCGAACAAGACGTTCGAAATGCTTTCGAAAAATTGCAGGTAATGACTATATTGATGACCTCACCAAGTAAAAAGCATTAATATAATGTTTTATCAATTTAGGGGCAAAATTCATTCATCATGTTCCATGCAGAAATGGAAGGAAACAATACTGATATTCAACAATCCGAATTAAAGGAATATTATGAACAAATTCCACCCGTAAATTATGAAAAATTTTTATTGAGTAGACCACAATCACTTGAATTAAATGCCATATCATTAGTAGTAGATCTTGCAAAGCAATATAAAAATGTAAAAACTCATATTGTACATTTATCAGCTTCAGATGCTATACCATTAATTAAACAAGCTAAATCTGATGGGAATAATTTAACAGTGGAAACTTGCTTTCATTATTTATGTTTATTTTCTGAGGAAATACCTAATGGAGGAACAGAATTTAAATGCTGCCCTCCTATTCGCGAGAAAAGTAATCGGGAAAAGCTTTGGCAGGTGAGACTTTTTTTGTTTATCTTTTGGTATGGATAAAGGAAATAAAAAAATTTGATAAGTTTATTATTTGTTATTTTATTTAAGGCGTTGTTGGATGGAACTATTGATTATGTAGTATCAGATCATTCACCGTGTATAGCTGAATTAAAGAAATTTAATGATAAAAAGGAAGAGAGAGACTTCATAAAAGCTTGGGGTGGCATTTCAACATTACAATTTGGGTTACCGTTATTATGGACTGAGGCCCAAAATCGAGGTATCGGGTAATAAATAATTAAATGAATAAATATATTTGCTTAAAATAAAAAAGATATAGCTAATATTATTTGAAATTAGTTTAAAACAATTAACCACTTGGTTATCAAAGAATACTTCTAAGCAAGTTGGATTACAGGATCAAAAAGGTGAAATTAAAGTTGGGTTCGATGCCGATTTGGTAATTTGGAATCCCGAAGAAAGTTTTGAAGTAAGCTTACATTTTTTTTTTCATTTTTTTTTTTTTTTACAGTTAATCATAATTTATTTATTTATTCTGTAGGTTACAAATGATATCATTCATTTCAAGAATAAAGTAACTCCATATCTTGGTAGAAAAATTCTAGGTGTTGTATATAAAACTATTGTTAGGGGGAAAATTGTTTATGACAAAAACAATGGTGGACTCGTTAATATTCCTTATGGCGAATTATTGATTTAATTATCTTAAAATGTCTCTATAACTTAAAAATTTTTTTCAATAAACTTAATGAAAATGTTTCTTATTATTAATTCTTATATTTCTTAATATATATATACTTAACCAAATGTTCTTTATAACCTTAAAATTTTTTTTCCTAAATACTTAATGAAATTTTCATATAATTCTTATAATTCTTAATTTTTTTTTTCTATATACTTAAGAAATTTTCTTATAATTCTTAATTCTTAATTTTTGTTTTCATATACTTAATGTGCAACTATAAATTATAAATATTAACGTAAAAATACAATCATAAAAAAAAACTTGAAATTCTTTAACTAAGTATCAAAAAAATAAAGGAATCTATTGAATCTATTGCTCGCACCATTCATCATTTATGAAACTTTCATACATGAATTGAAAAATTTCATCTTCATTTTTATTCTCATTTTCCCCAATCTGAGCAACTATATTTGTAGCATTTAATTGGTTCATATCAGAAGTAGGCGATAGGTCTTCGATAATAAAAGGTCCCTCAGAATTACTGACATAGTCAGAATTGGCGATGATTCGATGATCTACTTGAGGGATAAGATGACAGATTATTCTGATGCGATCTGCCTTTATGAACCAACTCTGCTTTTCAGTTTTTTCCATTTTGCCCCATTCTACCTTTGCTAGTTTTATGGCTTCAATTCTGTTAATCTGTAGACCAGCTTCACGCTTGTTTTTATAAAACGAATTCGAATACAAGATCCATGCATTGGGAACTCGACGTGCCCTATATTTAGGCATTTTACGAGACTTAGATTGTGGCATCTTTTCTTTTTTTTAATTGATTAATGGGAAAGGTTATAACTTTGAAACTTTGAAACGATCTGAATGTAAAAAAAAATGAGAACTTGAATTATTTATAGCCTTTGAATCATATGTAAGCAAAAGCAAGTATTAATGAAATCTTTTTATTATCCTTTGATTGCAATTTTTCGGAAAATCATCACCTGAAAAGAAAAGCCAAAAAGAAAGGTTCAGGAGAAAGTTACAAAATTAATTTGTTTTTTGTAATCAGTAATAAATCTTCGTGTCGATATATCAAACCATGCATAAATGAAGAAAATCAATGTAAGGTTTTGTATGAAAAATGGAATACAAGGAATCTTGATTAATTTTTTTTATTTTCCCAGGAATCATGAAACAATTTATTTCGCGATAAATATAAAATTTCTTCTTTTGGTATTTTACATTATCCCAACGTATAATGATGTGTTTATTTATATCATTCAAAGAAACTTAGAAATAAAAGAGATTCAAAAGTCGTCTTTTATGCAAAAGATTCTCCATACGCACGTGAACATAAAGTAAAGTTGAAAGAATCGTATGTTACCATAATGAGTCGTATCAATAACATTAAAACATTCATATGTATGTATTAATTTACTTCACATACCAATATTAGATCATAAATAGACGCGTAATTAAAGTATCAACGAATCGCATTGAAATGGATTCTTTTTTTTAAAAAAAAAGGAATTGGTTTCTGTTCGATGTTATATCATCGTGATAAAATAATAATACAAAGCCTTGTTTAAAGAGGTGTGGCGCAATTAACAAATTATTTCTTGATCAACGCAAAAGGGAAATCTTCTTATAATAACTCCGTCCTAAAAAAGTAACTAATTAAAGTTAGAACACACTTAAAGTTTGTGCTTAAGAGCAGTTTATTTACCAGATAACTTTGGCCAAAGATCACATAATTTCTTGTGACAATCTGCAGCTGATCAGCCGTAGTTTTGCCATTGAGGCGCTTTTTACAATGTCCCTAATGTCCTTTTGATTCCATTTTAAGGGGATATAATCATTATTTTGAAAATGTTATCATTGTATGAAAAAAAAATACTTTTTTTTTTTTTTTTTTTTGAAATTTCGTTATTTTATTTTATTTTTTTTTAACTTTTATTTTACTGCGGTTTTAAAGATTTAACGTGAATTTTTTCAAATTCATAAATAGTACAAGCAGATCTTTTTTATGTTACTGCGTTAGAATTTAATTTATGTTTTCCTTTCAAATTCATAAATAGTAATAGGGGATTTTGATTCCTTTGAACTTTTATTTTCCTTCACGGTGTTTAAACTCAGGATGTCTACATGCAATATTGTCGTCATATCCAGCAAAAAAGACTTATGAACATTCTTTTATCAAAGGAAGACAACAAGCCACAAAAACAAAAAAAATAAAATAAAGTGCGCCCGCATTTCAATTCGTTCCAATTACCACTTCCCTTTCCGATGCGCCACGCGCTTAATCTGCGCATAGCAAATTTTTCCTTATTTTTTTCTAAATTAGTAAATAATTTAAATTATTTTGAAATCTCGTCATACAAGAAATGTTTGTATAAAAAACCGTGGCTTGATCGGAATTGATCTCTCCCACTTTCCTTGATTTGCAATTTATTTTACCAATACAAGTAAAAGAGAAAAACAATCAGAATATCAATTTTTTAACTGTAGTATCATTTTGATTTAACAAACTGGGATTTTCTTACCACGTCCCACACTTACTAATTCTTACTAGACCTTTTCCTTTATGACTATATTGTTTTTGATTAAAATCAATTTAAGGTGTCAAATAAACAAACAATTTGCAATTTGCATCATTGGGTACTTTTGCTATTTAAAGAACTTTTCTTTGTTTTAAAAAAAAAAAAATAATTTCTCCTCTCTTTACATATTTGATTAAATCGGATTATCATATGATAATTAACATCAACTATGATGTATGTGAACACGAAAAAAAATGATTATTCATGAATTTCCTTAACCTGACACTCTCGATCACTTCTTCATCTCTGCAAGATTTTTTCCTTTTTCCATCCGACTTTGTTATTTTAAATCACGAATGATGGATATGCATTTTGACGCGTTTGACAATGTACATTTAAGCAAAAAAGTTTTTCTTTCTTTTTTTTAATGATAATGATTCTTTCCATTTATTATTGTTATTTCCATTTTTCGAAACAACGTAAACATAATGAGAAAGTCGTACGTTCTTTTATTCTTCCCTTGGCGAAATAATTCGGGGAAAAAGCTTACATGAGAAATTAATTATGAAAAAAAAAGTCTATATAAATGATTCCAAGACATATTTTATTTCATCGGTTCTGGGAACACATTAATTTTCGACATAACCTATTCAATTACATATTATCTATTAACTGTCGTCATGAATCCGCGGCTTATACTTCCTAATTCTCCTCCTCCCACTCCTCCCACGTCAAATTCGAAAATATTTGAGAATAATGGCTATATCACCTTTTGTCTATTTTATAAGGAAATACTTCCGGAGGAGTACCAAAATTTACCGCAGAAAGAGTGGATTTCCAAAGCCGCCAAATTTTGGAAATCTTTACCTAATAATTTAAAAAATTCTTTCACAAAGTTCGCTAATGATGAAAGGTTAATCAGAACGGGGAAAATCACACAACCTTTGTCTGAAGGCGACGAGTTAATAATAATATTTGACGATAGGTCAAGTTTAACTGATCCCTATGATCAGATTTTTGACCGTTATGTACGTTATAATTAATAGTCGATGAATTCGATGTCGTTGTTACGGTTTATTCGCCAATAAACCTTTTTTTTTTTGGAACTTTCGGAATACTAGTTCATTGGATTCACGAACGCGAACTTATAATTTGATTTCGTTTTGTCGGTTTATTCGCCAATAAACCCCTTTTTTTTTATTTTTCGGAAACTTTCGGAGCGCTAGTTCATTGGATTCACAAACGCGAACTTATAATTTGATGTCGTTTTTACTGTTTATTCGCCAATAAACCCCTTTTTTTTTTATTTTTCGGAACTTTTGGAACACTAGTTCATTGGATTCTCGAACGCGAACTTAAAATATTTCGAATTCGATTTTATGGGTATAACACATATATAACGTAGAAATCATATATATATATATATACGGTATCAATTCATGCATAACAATAAGCTTTAAATTAAGATATTTCAATTATAAGAACATATGTTTTTGTTTTGTTTTTAAGAAAAAAATTAAGATTTTACATTTCGAATAAAAAATAATTTACTGCGGATGATAATGACCAATCACGTGACCACAGTTTTTTTCGATTTTCTTGAGAAATAATTTCCAACTCGCTATTACAACTCGTAATGCCATCATGACACAAAATTTCTCTTAAAATCAGTGAGATTTTAAGAAAGACGTCTCATCAATTATTTTTTGCCCAGGTTACGAGTTTGCCACCCTCCAATTTTTCATTTTTCAAGTTAATTCCATTTAACAATATCCCAATATTCACAATTTCAGCCAACTTTAGCATACAGCCCCAAACCCGAAATATTTGAGTAGCCCAAACCTTAAAACTAGGGCGTTCTTTGATTTGGGGGTACAACATGAACTTTTTTGATTATCGGTAAATAAATCCTAATGAAAATCTATTAACGATAAGATTTTAGTTACGAATTTAATCAAAATTTAAAATAAATGATAAACGTGGTAACATTATATATTTCTCACATTGAATAGCAAGTTATTATTAGAATTCAAGATTATTTGTAGTTCAAAATAAATAAAAACCTACCTATTTAGAATTAACGAGTAAACACTGAATATCAATTGAAAACCTTTTTTTTTTTATATATATATGTTACCTTATTATTTACCTATCGATTTGACATTATATCAAAGTTTTATTTGATAAACAGTATTTGTTTATTCATCGTAAGGGGATCTATGGAACCCTTTTTTAGAAGGAAGCCGTTTTAAACACGATATTATCACCTTTATACATGACATTACTCTAAAAAAGTTCACGTTTCATAAAAAGAGGATTTCCTTTTTAAAAAGTTTCCTTCTTTACGCATCGGCCATACCAGCCCATAATTCTTTTGTAACCGACACCATTAAAACGTTCCAATTTTATCCATAAAAAGAAGATAAGCCTCGTTTGACAAAAAAAATCACTTTTTCAATCTAAACCTAAAGAGTTTTGTATGAAATGAATCCATTTGGGAAGGTTTAAAAACAAATTTTTCTGTTTTTAACAATCCCATTATGTGTTTACAAGATAAACATTTCAAAAACTGTAAAAAAAAATCCTTTATTCATTGGTGAAATACCAAACAAATTATTGATTTTTTTTTCTCTCCATTAAACCTATAATAAGTTAATCTAAATGCAAATCAATCACATTTCTCAATCTTATACTTAATAACTACTAATTTGATATTGTACACACATCGCGATTTCTTAATTTAACAAAAAAAAAAAAAAAAAAAAAAAATGTAACAACAATTTATTGCTTTACGGCCGAAATGATATTATATTTCCTCTGCAAGTGGGAGGAACGAATAGTTTTTAACGTAGTCATTTATTTCTTAAATGATTCACATATGTTTCAAGGTTCCTTAATATTTTTTTTTTTTGAAAATATTAATCCACTTTGAGCATTCTTCATTCCTGATAACTGATATTACATGATGCACTGTATCTCCGAAAAATTAAAAATAATCATTTCTCACGAATTACAAATAAAGTTCTTTCACGGAGTTTTTATTCAAAGCGCTAAAACTATTTGGTCCAATTTGATGTCGATCAACATCTCCTTTGTATCAAAATTTTTGCATCTCATTATTCCCATTACCCGTTTTGGTAATAATATATGTATTGTCAGAACAATAGTTATGTTATCTCGCAATTATGTTTCACAGTTTTTTATTCCCAAAAGCAAAATTGACTATACGACTATTCAACTATTATCGTATGAATATATTTATTCCTCGACTTATCTGAAAAAAGGAATTTCTTTCTCAAATAGGTCATATCCTTTAAGCACATTTATTCCCAAAGAGAAATCAAAAAAAAAATTCTCATGACATAAGACATTTTACTCCTGTACAAGTTAATCTAAGTTTTCTCTTCTTTTTACTTTGCGCTTTCTATTAAATAAACCATTAAACTTAAATTATTAACATCGCGCAACACGGGATCGGGCAACACAAAGATAAAAAAAACAAACGTCAAACTGATCAGACAAGAACACCTGCTTTTAATTAATTCATTTTTTGTATCGACAGCAAATTAAGTTGTTGATTAATTGAAAAAAAAAATAAACAAAAAAGTAAATAAACTGTTAATTAATAAAACAGGAAAAGGTTAAAATGATGTTTCAAGTTGTTATTTTTAGGAATATGCTTAATATTGTTTGTTTGAAAACACTAAATACTCACGGATGGAAAATAAAATCCTTATACATTATTTTCATTGTTTATCAATGATGATACATAAACATCAACAAATAGCATATTTATTCATACATATCAATTGGGAAAACAGAATTTTGGTAAAATGAATCCCTTTTTTAAATTTGAAACATTTTTTAACCTTTGAAACCAAAGGGAAGGGTTGACTCTGGACCTCAATCCTAAATAAATTTTTGAGGTAGGGGGCTATGTTAAGGTTACATCCTAGCTAATCTGTTTCAGATGGTTTCGGTTAGTGTGCTACTATAAATAACCCAAATGCAGACCCCTGTGTTTGAGGTTAAGGTTAAATGTTTGTTAATTCCATTTTAAAATGTTTAAGGTTTAACTATCTTCAATATTACTCAGAGAAAATAAGTTAAAAAAAGCTCAAGTAGGAATAATCACTACCTTTTAGAGAAAAACCCTTTTTTTCACATTTAAAAAAAAAAAAAAAAAAAAAAAAAGAAAAGAAAAACATTTGGGAACGGGCTTAGCATTGATCATTTACTTAATCATGAAAACTTTTATGCAACTTCAAATTTGGAAGTGTTTTACGCCAACTGAGATTACATGCATGGTATTTCCTGGCATCAGATGACACATTTGAAATGTTGAATTCAAGGGGGGTAATATTCTCAAACAGCTAAAATGTAACCAAAGATTCGGGATGATGACTCTGGTTTAAGGAATCCGAGTCAAAATCAAAATAATTTGAATTTGGTAATAATATATTATTGGATACCAAAGATTCTGAAACATAGAAATTATTGATGAGTAATTTTTCAGCCCTCTACCCAAATTTGATGTTTAATGTTTTATTTGCATTATCTTGGTGTGTAAACGGTATTCTTGGACATACAATACTAAATACTTGATAAAACTCAATGGACGAAATGTACGAATTATATGGCAGTAAAAAAATAATAATAACCTCTTGATGAAATAACGAAGACAATACACTACACCAAAATATTTCTTAGGTCAAAATTAAAAGGGAAGAATGTAACGAAAAGTGAATTTTACCATGTTTAACAATAAAGTTTACCAAGTTGTTTGTTTGTTGTAATCATTATTTTAATGTAACAATAACAACCACCAACGCAATGTTGATTGTTCCCCTTGAATCTTAAAGTCTTTCAATAAATATATTTCTTTTTTTATTTTATTTTTATTTTTTATCAAGTATTAGTAGGGATTATCATTACAAGTTCTTCAGTAGTTCTCTCCCTTTACGTCCACACTAAAGTATGTCCAAAGTGATGAGATCTTCCTCAAACATTTTTTACCTAACTTTTTTCATGATAAAAAAAAACAAGATTAACCCCCCAAAAAAACTTGAAATCTTTTTTTTAAGAATCCATCCATATTGGTAAAATGATCACCTAAAAGACCTAAAAGGTGTTACAATACATTAATTCTCATTCAACTCGGAGTTAACTCAGGTTTGAAATTACTCAGATTTATTAAAACACGATTTTTTATTGGTTTCTCATTATATATGTACATTTTACCCCTTTTAATCATTGTAAAACAAGTTCTCATAATTTATGTTCTCCTATGCTACGTTACAATAATTATTTAATTATTATATTTATATTTATATTAATAATAGTAAATAGTACTTGGATGATGTGATGGATTATATTATTTTCTTATCATTTTGCATTAATGGATGACAAACAATTTCACGGATTTATTCGAATGAATGAAAAGGTATATTTGGAATAGTTTTGTTTTAAAAAATGAGCTCAATTTTCAATGAGTACATCTTTTTTTTTTTTTTAGATAATGTAACCGGTTCACGGGTTGTTTATTTTTGTAAATTGGATGATATTTGGAATGTATGGCACGAATAATTTTTTCGTTTTGTGTTTTGTACAATTCTTTGATTCTAAACTTATTTCTTTTTGAAAAAGGAAAATTTTAACATCCAGATATCAAGATGCCATCCTGTGGTTGGTCCTTTTCGGTAAAGAAGCTTGCGCGTTTGGCCTTGTTAACTTAAAATGGGCACAGTGAGCAAAAAAAATAAATCAAATAAAAATTGTATCAATGATATTATTCATTTATTTCTTAGGGTTTCATGATGTTTAGATAAAACACGCCATCTCCTTTTATGGGATCAATAAATTGCTTACTTTAATTATTACATTTTTTTTATTGTTAAACACGACTATAGGTAGAATTCTTCTAATCCTCGGTCTCTGAACGTCGTAGTGTAAATTCAATGCGTAAAAATAATGAAATATTTTTATGAAACAATCCATTATCAAGAATAAATTTAGAAAATATTCCTTTCGGCTCTTGATAGAG